AAAAAAAAAAAAAAAAAAAAAAAAAAAAAAAGATCAGAGTTTGAGGAAAAACACAAATCTCTGGAGAGAGAACAAATGAAAATTCTCTCCCCTATCAAAATGTGAAACCCTAAAATCCCAAATAATGAGAAAAATCAAACACATTAAGAGCTCCCTCACCACAGCTTTTACAGAAATTCATGCACAGGAATATAAATCTACCACAAACCTCAGAGACAAAAGGCAACCAGACAATTTTTTCACATACTAAAAATAGGATTTCACAACACTTAAGATTTTTCTGTATTCACATTCAAATTCTTAACAATAGCTTAAGAATATTATTATGTATACCAGAATTTCAGCGGCCATTTTCGGCCAAAGACCCCAAAATGACTGCGGGTTTCCGACTAGGTCGGCCTAGCCACGATAACTATAATCTTTTTTACAAATATGAAACTTTCATAATAAAATGTCTTATTTTAGAACACAACATGAAAGAGAACTATTATGCATATTATAGTATTCCCTCAATTAAAGCTCTATCTTGAAGGTGATTCCAGGCCAGGAAAGTTGGTCCCAGGTGCTACTGTTAGCAAAAATTAAGGTATAAAGGTAATTTCAAATTTTATAAGATGAAAGTTAGAAGCTTTTTCAATTATGTTGCCACTGTGAGAATACATTCAAGTTGGATGCTTTTAGAGTGAAATATTATATTTCCTTCAAACAATGTAAATAACTATATTCAATAAGATTTTGTCATTGTTCAGTTTAACACATATGGAAACTGCAAAAGTGGAAGCATAGTGTGTGCATGTGAAAGGGCTGATCAGTTTACATTGAGCTTGATCCAAAGTAAGGAAAGAAAAAAAAAATGAAAATATCATTAATGGATCATTAGAAAGTTTACATATTGTAATCGAATACAAATACATTCCGATAACCGGAGAAATTATAGATCATAAGCAAATAAATACTACTTCCCTGCTCCTGGTGCCGAAGCTTCTGAACCTCAGCTACTCCTAGAAAAAATTAGATACAGACCTGTACAAGCTGTGTCCTAAACTCGTCCAATCATCATACTAAACAAGACAAACAACCCTTATCTCGAACATAATAATTTAAAAAAAAAAAAAGTATTTAAAGCTGTAATACCAAATCCGGCTGTTGAGGCGAACCAATTTGTAAGCTACCAGAACTAGGCGAGCCCACCGGGACTCTCACATTCAGATCAGGAGGTGCATCCGAAACATTATTGTTAAAACTATTATTACTGCTATTGTTGTGTCTTTGTTGCACGGCCTCATGAGAAAATTGTTTACCTTGTTCGTCCACTTGATATCCAGGCGGCAAGCTATTGTTCCTAATTCCCACCAACTTTGCTTGCTCCCTAACGACATTATTCACCAATTTCACATTTCCAGAACTTTCTGGAATGGGATTTCCCGAGTTTGTGACTTTTGCAGGCTCACCACTAACACCATCTGAGTTGGAAATTTGCTGGGATGGGACTTGAGGTTTCCACAAGGGGGCGTTTGGCTTGCTTGAAATGGAATTTGCAGCAATGCCAGTGGGTGATTTGTTATTGTCCATTGAATAAGATGACGTTCGTGAAGGGGCATCATTTTCACCTACCCACCCGGGTCCGTACTGTACACCAGCAGGTAGAACGGCGTCTATCTTCCTTGATGCCATTTTCCAGGCAACAGGGCCAAGATTTGCTGCATACCTGGCCAGGCTTCGTGCATAAGCAAGGGCTTCCTGGAGACCTACCTGTAAGTTTTGAGCAGGGGATCGGTGAGATTAAATAGACGAGTCTATCTTTCAGAATAACTGGTAAGCACGCAGGTGTACCAACAGAAACAAAGATCAATGCGATTTCTTAATTTCCAATTTTTTATTTTTTTTTTCCATTTGTAATATGCAGGAGAATCTTTTCTGAATATCAGTCACTATTTGCCAGTGTGCAAAGGAGTTATCTTGATATCACTAGTCATCTTTCAGATGTAAAAGGTAACCCCTTCAGGTGTGGAACAGAAACAAAGATCAAGGGGGTAATATTCTGTAATTTTTTAAGATGGACATTGTTTTCTTTCCTCTTTTTTTTTTTTTTTTTGTCATTTTAATATTTGGAATCTCAAGAGAATACATTCTAAATACCAATGACTTTCCATCAGTGGGCAAAGGATTTATCTTGATACATACCGGCACTAACCGCTTTACATTTCCACTGGAATTCAATAAAACTAGTGAATTGTGGCCTGAAGACAGCAAATGGGATTGCCTGTAGGTGTCGCGCCTGTTTTCATCAACCGTAAACTGTTTTTTCCCATATTTCATGTCAGCTCTTAAAATTGACGCTGCGTGTCACAGAAAAAATGGGGGTCAAGATTTCCACGAAAAGATAACGACTACACAAACTCACAAAGTACTGTACAACAGCAAATGAGCAAATACCTGGAAATTCATTATTCCAGTCAATTGACCATTCAGAGTGGTTTTCACCATTTCTTGAACCATAAGATGACATAAATGAATTACCAGACCTAAATCTAAATAATGCGGGTCCCTTCCTCAGATTGTAAGAATTGGACCCAGTTGCTTTATCTTCTTCTTTAGCAAGAGTTGCCCCAGTAGAGAGATCAGCGCCAACACGATCCACGGTGGTATTTTCAACAGCCTTTTTATGATTTTTGCTGTTCGGTGGCCTCCCTCTCCTCACCACCTTTGGCTCACCTTCATGCCTAAGATTATTGAAGTCTCTCTTCGCAAGTTCTTGTATAGTTCGTGCCTGATATATCCAGTTATTCATTAGAAAAAAAAAACATTAAAAAAAAAACATAAAATGAAGCAAGGATTAATTCAGACCTGGCGATAGTAGACAGTGTCTGAAGAATTATACTGCATGGCATTTGAACATATCAAAAGCACATCAGCCTGGAATAAGAGTGGACAGAAAAGTCAACTTTTGCTTCACGATTTGTCTCGAAATTGTCAAAGTCAGAATTAAGTATTAACTACATTGACCAAAATCATTTACAGGCATGCTTGGAAGAAAGTTGCTGGTCCACAAGAATGATTATAATAAAACAGCAAGTAGCACATTTCAACATTATCAGATAAATTAAGATCAGTTTGAGTAAAAATAATATTACAAGGGCAGAAGCTCCACATTGTACCTCAATCTAAGCCATAAGGATAATATAATACACTCTGACTAGCAGAGAAAATATATTTTAATTATTTATTCTGATAAATGTTCCCTGGTCTTGGTTTTGTTTGTTAATAACTGATTTTGGCTACTATTCGCTGAGCAGAAAGTAAGCAAGTTCCAGACTTTATGCACATATCTTGAAGAGAAATGCAATTATGCCCCTCATCACGTGGCTTTTAGCCTCTTTCATTTCTCTTAATAATCCTTTCAAGTATAGAATATATAGCATTGTATTCATTGGACCGGACAATTTATAGTGAAGCATATATAACAACTCAAAAGCAGAAAGAATACATTCAGATCCCAACATGTCACCTACACTCCAGCATATTCAGCAATTTAATGATTATTTCTAATATTCAACACTAACAATATAGTTTAACACGCTTCTAAGAGGAGCCACCAAAATCCCTTAGAAATATATTTTTTTTTAAAAAATAAAAAAAACATTGCATAGGTATTATACAAATAATGCTATCTATGTCAAGCCTACCAATATCTTCAATCCATTTTCGAGCATTGTACATAAGGAGATAATTTCATAGAAAATTAAACTAAGAGTCTTGGTAAAGTACAGTAATACTAAGCAGACGTCAAAAGGTAGTATCCAAGTTACTTAAAAAGCCATATCAAGAAGCTACAATCTAATAACAACAAAAACAACAACATAAACCATTTAAAATTTTATCCATGTGAATTATATCAAATGAAGCCAGACTAGTAAATCATTTGAAGATAAAGAGTAAACATCTTATATTGTTTGAACTAACCTCCAACTCTTCCAAGTTTTTGTAAGCTCCACTGTCAAGTTTCTTCCTTACTGTCCCAAAATCCATAGGTTGCTCTATTATATCAAAATAATCAGGTAGCTGCAAGAATATCAACTCTATATCAGCAAGGAAATACAATTGTTGTAAATTTATTACTTTATGTCTGGCGCCATCACCTCATTGGGATCCACAGGCTCCGAGTAAACACCATACGTATCCTTTCTGAATCAACACACACCAAATAAACCAACAGTTATGGACTGACTATGCAAACCAAGATACATCTAAAGAATAATGCAAAAATACTGTACTTTTGGAGCCTGTCAAGAACGAATATCAACAACTTTTTATCTGGCAAAGAAGTTGCAGGACCAGACGCCATTGCTGACTCTGTCCACAAAATATAAAATCAGACAATCGCAATCAGATCAAAACACACCAAACTGGGTTTTCCAATCATACTTTATCCAAAAAAAAAAAAAAAAAAGGAGCTTTTCTTTTGTGCAATTCACGGCAAAAATCAATAAGGTTGTAAGTAGAACCTTGTACATAATTGTCTCTCTCTTTCATGAGCTCTCTATCCTGGATAAAACCAACATAACCATTATTAAGAAAAACAAACGTTGTCTCAAAACAAGCAAATTACATAACAATATCCATATTGAAAATCACGGCAAAGACGGCAAGCCGGGAAGCAGTTCAAGAAACACGAGACGAGCAAGCATACGAACAAAACTTACCTCTCCTACTAACCAACATGCATGTACAATAAAGAAAAACCATTTGATTGTTTTTTTTCAAAGGCACAATTCTTCATAAAAACAGATGAAAAGATTATATTCACTTGAAGAAAGGATGGCCTACATAATTATTGTCCAAAAATGAAGTAGGTACAGATAAATTGGCGACACAAATGCCGAAAAAAAAAGAACTATATTACAAATATACACACATCAATGATCAAACCCCAGAATTCATAAAACAGAAAAAATAAATCATCTGCTGTTTCTGCAACATATACAGTTGACCAAGTCAAAAAAAAAAAGAAGAAAAAGAAAAGAAAATCAGCACCCACTACAGATCTCTTCACAAGCCAGAGCAGCCAAAAAGTAAATAAAAATAAAAATGGGACACCGCAAATAAATTTCGTTTTTTTTTTTTTTTTCGCGCGAAATCCCCAAAACCCACTTTCGAATCTCTCCTAAATTAAAACCCCCTAAATATTTCCCACTTACAAATTTTTTCCTCACCAAAAGTCTTAAAGAGCTGGTGGCTGCCATAAATGAAAAACGCCGGGAGAAAAAATGGAAGCTGAATTTTTCAAAGATACTTCAAATTCAAAAAATTTCCCGATTTTCACAAGAACCACCGTGAATCCCTATACCTGATCCGAAACCCCGCCGTCAGATCCATCATCGACGCCGTCAATCTTGCGTTTCTTCGCGTGCCCCTCTCGATCATCCACATCCCGGTCCGATTCGGAACCCGAACCCGATCCGCCGGAACCCGAATCCAATTCCCGAGAATGCTGACTTTCCTGCAGCTGCCCTCTCTTCACACTCTCATCCGACGGAGGCAGCCGGACGACGAGCTTGACCTTCTTCTCCTTGCGCTCGTCTTCGTCGTCGAATTCGGGCTGATGCGGCGGCGAATCGAGATGATTAGGGTTCCGACGAGTGGATCGGCGGCTCGTGGGGTTGGGAGCAGGGGTTTTGGGAGGGGTTGAGAGCTGTGGGCGTTTCTTGGAAGGCCGTCCCTTCTTCTTCCTCGCCGTCTCCGGCGTGGCTGCGGCGATTGATGCCTTACCCATTTTCTGATTCGGGCCTTCAGACCGGAGAGAGAGAGAGAGAGAAGAGAGAAGAGGGTAAAGGGGCCTTCTTTTTCTTTTGTCGCAGTACAGTAAATGTTGTACTGTTATTTCCTAATACGGTGCCGTTTCGTCTAATGTAGACTGTAGAGAGAGTGTTTCCCCTTTTTCCTGTTGTTTTCGTATTATTTTTTATCCTTTTATATTTTATTAATATAAAATTAATTCATGTTTTGGGCTCATTTTCGTTTAGTAAGAGCCGACTCGTGAAAATTCCACTCATTTAATAAACTTAATATTTTAAATAAATCTCTCCCTATATATTAATTCAAAACGTGTTGAGTCTAGGTGACAGATTCTCACGCTTTGGATGCTGACATGGTGAAAATCTATGTTTTGTGATGTTGTTTTTATATTATTTTTGCTCTGGAGTTAGGTTTGGTATTAGACATAAATAACTTTACACATATATTTATTAACTCAATAATCATGTTGTACATGAGTATTAGTACTAGTTGTTAGTATGAAATGTGTGTTCGCGGACAATTCCGAACGATTGTTTCAATTAATACCCATAAATTTCAAAAACATAAAGAGATAATTAAAACGAGCTGTTTTTTAACAAGTTTTTTTGTTTTAGCTCGACGTGTTTAATTAATGAGCTTATCTAATTGTTTGAACTTGGCTCAATTAATTTCATGAACAAGTTAAATTCGAGCTTCTTATAGTTTATTTGGTCAGCTTATAAGCTCCCGGTATTCAAATAAGTCTCGTTTGGTAGGACGAACTTTTTTAAAAAGTTCGAGCTCATTCCATAAACTACTTTAGGTAGTTTTTCAAGTAAGCTAGTTGCATTTTTATTTTAGCTAGCTTATCAGCTAATTTTACCAAACACTTTTATCATATAAGCTAGTTTTTCCAGCTATAAGCTAAAAATTACAAATAAGCTATAAGCTAACTTATCAGCTATCAGTTGATTTTACCAAACATAGTCTAATATAAGTTCAATTAAATTTTATTCAGGTCGTGATAGGTCGAAAAATGTGCATATTTTATATATTTAATAGTGTATTTTTATACACTAAATTTATTCTCACGTTTATACTTTTCGACTTATTTATTATTTGGATGGATCTATTTGCTTTGATTATCTTGTGTTTTATTTTCAGAAAATTGAAGCATTTTTGTGAATGACGAGTATTGGATAAAAGTTCGAACGAGTTGGAGCGGGAAATTGGTGAGACGGGCCAATAAATTATTAGTGGGTTGGCTAAGATTAAGTGATTAAGTCCCAAAATACAAGGGGGTGATTGTTTACAAAATAATTTACTCACTTTTATTTCTACTCAAAATCTAACTCAACTTCAACTCAACCCCACTATGTTTAATATTATTCATATAATTAAATAATACAAACCAATCATTCTTACACATCACATCAACTTTAATTCACTATTCATCCACACACATAATTTTAACTACCTATCATTTTCAATCATTTATCTCTTACTTTTACATCAAATCAATTTTAATTATTTTATTTTAAATATTATTTTAATACATTCTTAAAATTTCACTACAACTAATCATACCACTTTTTTCAAAATTAACTATAGTTAACCAAAATAACTCAATTTGAACAAATTATTTCATAAACAATCAAGCCCCAAATAATTTGGATGGGGTAAAATGCACCAAACCCCTTGTAATATACTAAATCTGCGCGTTATCCCCCTCTATTTTAAAAAATGCGCCAAACCCCCTTCTATTGTAGTTTGGCTAGCACACCACCCCCGTCATCTTAGACGGTTTAGGGTGTTTCGCGCAAGCCAAACTACAATAGAAGGGGGTTTGACGCATTTTTAAAAGTAGAGGGGGATGATGCACAGATTTAGTATATTACAGGGGGGTTTGGTGCATTTTACCCAATTTGAATGTTTGGGAAATTAGTTGAGAAAAGAAGCCGCAGCAAAAGATCACGCACATAAGGGGATTGGAACATTTGACTTTGGGATGATTTATTTTGGGTATTGATATTTACCGCCCCTTTTTAATAAATACCGCCCCCAAAAAGACAATTTTATCCTTTTTAATATAAAAATATTTTTTTTTTTTGGGCTGGCCGGCCTTGAATGCCGGCCGTAGCCGTGCCGGCCTTCTTTTTGCCGGTAGGCCAGCCCATGCACGGCCGGTTTTGCCGGTAGGCCGGCCCATGCACGACCGGTTTTGCCGGTTGGCCGGCCCATGCACGGCCGGTTTTTCCGGTTGGCCGGCCCATGCACGGCCG